TGTGAACCTGGAGCTGATGGTGCTGAGACCTTTGCAGATGGGGTCCCACGGGAAGGTCTTTCTCGGCAGCACGTCCTTACTCGCATTGGGGTCATGTCACTTATACGCAAAAAGGTGAGTGCCTGGCAGAGCAGTGTGGCCTTTGCTGGCCTTACATACAACTGTAGTCACTGGGGTCTTGAATTGGAGAGTTACCTCTTCTTTCACCGCTACTTTTGTTGTGTGCTTAGTGCTCTGCCCATACAGGTGTAAGGATGAGTTTTATATGACTCCTCCAGTGATATGTCTTTCTCTCCCTCTTGTGCAGGTGCAGGAATTTGAGCATGTGAATGGCCGCTGGAGTATGCCAGAACTGGCAGAGATAGAGGAGAACAAGAAACTGTCACAGCCCAGCTCACCCTCTCCCAAAACTCCAACTCCTTCGACACCAGGGGATACACAGCCGAACACACCAGCCCCTGTTCCTCCACCTGGTGAGGGCTCCCTCTTGTACAGCCCTGCGTCCTGACCTTAGCCTGGCTGTTCCCCTCACCAGACCTGTGGTGCTGGGGTCTGGGGCAGGACGCAGATCAACTTACTCTCATGTTAGGAGGGCTGCCAAAGACATGTGCAAGCCCTTAAAGGCAAGAGAGGACACTGGCTTTCCTGGGATGAGCTGGCATCAGTGAGAAGCCCAGCATTTGTAGTGGGCAGGAAAAGGAAGGAGGGGTCATGTTAGTTCCATTTTGATGGGCCTGATCTCTGGGAGCTAAGAAGTGGTCTTGGTAGCAGGGAAGGCCTTACTGATTTGCTTCTCTTTTGTCTCCTGTGCTGCTCTGGCATGGGGAATACACAGAAGATGGAGTAAAAGTAGAAGAAGGAGCTAGTGCTAAGGAGCAAGGAGAGCCTTCTGAACCAGAGAAGGAGCTCAGTGCCTCTGCTACTGAAACAGAGGCCCCTATGGAGGTGAGTTTTGGCTTTTTTGCCTTGTAATTGTTTATTTCTCTACTTCTGCCACCTCTTCATTTTAGCTGAGGCAGAGATGAGTTTTTAGAGTGATGCTTTAAGATAACTCTCTGGTCCTCAGAACTGGCCTCACAGTTTTGTGTGTGTCTGCTTTTCAAATGACTGTGACTGTATTCTGTTGTCATGCACTGCTATACTTTGTGTCTCACTGATCACTGTCCTCAGCAGTGTGCTCAGCCTGTGGAGACACCACCCCAGGAAGCAAAATCCCCAGTGAACTCCACAGAAGCAGATGAAAAAAAAGGAGAGGAAACGGAAGTGAAGGAAAGACCAGATGAACCAATGGAAGTAGAAAGCAAAGGTACAAAGCACTTAATCCTGAAGAAATGGGCTGGAATGTAAAAATCAACTGGGAAGTTGCAGTATAGTATTGGGTTTAATTGGTTGAAGAATAAAACTGTGGACTTGCTATGTTCCTGTGCATCTCATGTTCCCCTTCTTTCCTGCAGCTGATGTGGAGAAAGTGGAAGACAGAGCAGCTACTGAAAATCCTCCTGACCCTCCTATAATCACTCTGGATGAGAAAGGTGAGGCATGATGACTCCCTTCTCTTCCTTAACCCTTCTTCTGCAAGGATTCATTGTGGGTCCAACTTGTTGCAGTACCTGCCATGTTTGTTTTAAAAATTTCCTGTGTGTACAGATGAGAAAAAGGATGATGATAAGAGAGATGTGGTGATGCTGCAGAATGGAGAGATGCTGAAAGAGTCAGTAGATGAAAGGCACAAGAAGGCAGTAAAGCAGCGCTTCATGTTCAACATAGCAGATGGTGGTTTCACTGGTATGTGATCTTTATCTACTTGAACTCATTTATAAGCTCCTGCTTATGTTTGTGAAATAACTTCCACCTGTTCTGGTGTCTCTTGCCTTTGCAGAACTACACTCCCTCTGGCAGAATGAGGAGCGGGCTGCCACTGTCACCAAGAAGACCTATGAGATCTGGCATCGGCGTCATGACTACTGGCTCCTAGCTGGGATTATCAAGTATCCTTGCCATGACAGACACATTCTCCCACCTTGTACATAACTTGTCACGGGGAAAGTGACCGTTCTGGATCTGACTGGGAGTGCTTTATCTTCACAAGAGTGAAAGTGATGATGGGAGGGGGAGCTTCTTCTTGCAGCATAGTTAAGACTTAGCAGGACATAGTTCTCATTCTCCTTCCTTGGCTCCTGTTTGTCCCCTCTCTGTACCCCCTTTCCCCACTCCCTCTGGAGAACAGTACTGCCTGGGCTGTGTATTCCCTTGTTTTCACTGCCTTTGTTTGCCTGAGCTCATCCCATCTCAGTCATGGCTATGCCCGTTGGCAGGATATTCAGAATGATCCACGTTACGCCATCCTCAATGAACCCTTCAAGGGTGAGATGAACAGGGGTAACTTCCTGGAAATAAAGAATAAGTTTTTGGCAAGGAGATTTAAGGTAAGGATTTCTCTTTAGTGTGATAACTGCCTGGATCTCTAAGAACAGGTTCTTGCACTTCTGAGTTTCCACCAAGAAAGTGAAAGATGTATGCAATGCCTTTTGTTTTAGGGGTAATAAAAAAGCAGTATATCTCAGGATCATGCAGTTGCTCCGTGATAGGAGCTCTCTTTTTTCTGGAAGTGGTATCGGGCAGCTTGGTTCAGTGCTCTCTATCCAAATGTTTATTGAACAACTAAGCAAGAGGCTTAAGATTCAAGTGGCTGTTTTCATCACAGCTTCTGCTCAGTCTGCTACAACCCACTCCATGTACCTGAACAGAACTCTGGTTGCTGAAAGGGCTGCCTTCAGTCGCTACTTGATCCTCTTTAGGAGTGAACATAGCTTAGTTGTGGGAGTGATTTACAATCAGGTAAAAGCCATGTAGGTCTCAGTCTTGGGGCAAAACGTCAATTAACTATAGACTGAATTATAAGTTCTGCACTGACAGGATTCCAGCTGATTTCTCCAAATGCTTACAAGATTCTAGACTCTCTCTATAAATAGGATGGAATACTTTTCCCTTGGGTTCAAGGAGTAATCTCCTATTTGCCTCATAAAGAATGGGTAAAAAGAATCAGAGAAGGACTGAAGATACTAGAGGAGTTGTAGTAGACTATTAAACCCAATATGTGTATCTGACTTTGCTTCATGAAGCTCTTACTGTTTTGGGCTACTCAGTAAAACCGACTGGTGAAAAGAGATTCAGCTACACAATCTCCCCTTATGAGCTGGTGGGGAATTGGATCAGGAGAGACTGGGGGCACAGACAAGGCTTCCTCTGAGGCAGCTGCTGAAAGACTCATTGCTGCCCCACCTTGCAGCTCCTGGAGCAAGCGCTGGTGATTGAGGAGCAGTTGCGGCGAGCTGCCTACCTGAACATGTCCGAAGACCCATCTCACCCCTCCATGGCTCTGAACACACGTTTTGCAGAGGTGGAATGCCTGGCTGAGAGCCACCAGCACCTATCCAAGGAATCAATGGCTGGGAATAAACCAGCCAATGCTGTGCTGCACAAAGGTAATGCGGTGTGTTAAACAGGGGCGGGATAGGTGTTCAGCAGTGCTGTCCCCTCTGGGGTGTCCCTTTCCCGTCCGAACAGATGTCCCTTTCTCTTGTAGTTCTGAAGCAGCTGGAGGAGCTTTTGAGTGACATGAAGGCCGATGTGACCCGTCTGCCCGCCACGATTGCCCGCATCCCCCCTGTGGCGGTGCGCCTCCAGATGTCGGAGCGCAACATCCTCAGCCGCCTGGCCAACCGCAGCAGCGAGCCCCCGCCGCCGCCCCCGCCCCAACAAGTACGTACCCGCTCTGGTCAGTACGGGAGCCACGGGGGGAGGGGCCCTCCGAGGGCCGGGCCAGGCTCCCGTGACCAGACCGGGAGTCTCAGCTCCTCCTCTCTCGCCCTGCAGGTGGCCCAGCAGCAGTGAGTTCCTGGCCCAGTGCTGTTGACCTTTCGGCCAAGCTGAAGTGACTCCCCTAGCCCACCCCTTCACACTCTACCCCTCTGCCTGACATTCCTGACTGGGTGCTGTTTCCCTCCATGGAAGCTGCTGCTCAGGTCTCTGGAAGGAGAAGAAACTCCTTCCTCTGCAGCCAGCCCGTTGGAGCAAGGAGTGTGTTTAGGAGAGAGGGGGATGGATGTATGATGGACTCTGTACATAGTGACTGGAGGCCCCAGCGCCATGTCTGTTACATGGAGAACCTGGCTGCATTGCTCGTTGCCTCCGCCTGGAATTCCAGTTTTCGTTCTTAATTTTATTTTGAGTTTGTTTACTGAGACAAGTGTGCAGGCAAGACCAAGCAAAAGCCAGGACAGAGACAAAGCTACCTCCATCAAAATCCTTTTTAATACAAAAACTGACCGGACTTGTCAACTAATAAGCAGCTTGAAGACAAAAGCAAACAACAATGAAAAACCAACAAAAAACAGAGCAAAACGTTGATAAAACTGAAAAATAAAGTTTCCTTGTATTTTATTTTGTTGTCTGTAGTCTCATGAGTGTACTAGGGTAAGTATGTGGTCTCAGCATTGAAAGAAGAATTAGTCATGTCTTTTTGCTGTATCAGAGCAGCTTTTCGGCTATCCTACACCTCTGAGAAGGGCAGTAGATGGCAGTGTTTAAGGCCAGGCTCCAGAAGGCCTTGAGGAACCTGGTCTCAGGAGTGCTGTCCCTGCCTCTGGTATGGGGGTTGAGCTGGATGATCTTTAAACCTCTGTGCCCCGAACCTTAACAGTCTGATTCTGTAGCTACTTTCCCCCTGCCTCTGCACTGCTGCAGGAGCCCGGCTCCCGGGGCCCTGCCTCACTCCCGGGCCCAGCCGGCCCCTTCCCGGTACGGCGGTTCCCGCGGCGGGGCGGGCCCGCGGCCCCACGCGTCCCGGGGGCGGGCGGCCTGCGCCGCTGACGTTGCCGACAGGGGCCAATCAGCGATCGCGGTGGGCAGCGCGGGGGCGGGCTGGCGGCGGGCGCGTGCGCCGGGGCGGCGGGGAGCGCGGCACGTGCGGCGGCGCGCGGGGGTCCGGCGGCGCGGCCATGGGGCGGAAGCTCGATCCCAGCAGGAAAGAGAAGCGTGGGCCCGGGCGCAAGGCCCGCAAGCAGCGCGGGGCCGAGGTGGAGCTGGCCCGCTTCCTGCCGCCAGGTAAGTGCGGCCTGCGCCGGCCCGCCGCCGCCCCAAGGCGCCCGCCGCCGTCTGACCGCCGCGTGTCTTCCCGCAGAGCCCGAGAGCGGCAGGAAGAAGCTCTCCAGTCACGGCAGAAGGAGGTGAGGGGGGCGGTGCGGCGGGCCGGGGCGGGCGGACCGGGCCGGGGCTGATCGGCGCTTCCCCTCGCGATGCAGGGCGGCGAAGAGGCGGCTGGCAGCGGGCGGCGGCCCGGCCGGGAGGAGGCCGCTCGGAGGAGGAGCAGGAGGAAGAGGAGGAGACGGAGAGCGGGAGCCCCCAGGTGAGTGGGAGCGGGTCCGAACCGGGCTGACGGGCCGGCGGTCCCCAGTCCTGCTTCCCCACGGGCGCTGCCGCCACCATCCTTCTCTGGCGCCGTTTTCAAGGCAGGGTACACGTAGAATTTCATTATTTTAAATCACAGAATCCTAGAGTTTCCTGAGTTGAAAGGGACCCACAAGGATAGTTGAGTCAGCTCCTGGCCCTGCACAGGACCACCCCGAGAATCACACCACGTTCCTGAAAGTGTTGTCTAAACTCTTCTGTCTGAACTCAGACAGACTTGGTGCTGTGATCACTTCCTTAGGAACTTGTTCCAGTGCCCAACCACCCTCTGGGTGGAGAATCTTTTTCTGGTATCCAACTCAAACCTCCCCTGACACAACTGTGATTGCTGTACCCTCGGGTCCTGTCACGGGTCATCACAGAGGAGAGATCAGTGCCTGTCCCTCCTCTTCCCCTCATGAGAAGGCTGCACCCCGCAATGAGCTCTCTCCTCAGTCTCCTCCTCTCCAGGCTGAACAGACCAAGTGACCTCAGCTGCTCCTCACAAGGCTTCACCTCCAGACCCTTCATCATCTTGGTCCTCTTTTGAGTTCTCTCTAATAGATGATAGCAATGAATCCTATCTGATTTCTGGTGGCTGCCATGTCAGGAGGCAGTGTTGTCTGAAGAACTAGTCAAAGGTCTCTCTTCTGCCTGTTAAATCCATTTTTTACTTATCCTCCATTCACAGCAAGGTTGTTGCAGGCTGCTTTTATGGCTGAGGCTTTTAAGTCTTTGTGTTGCATCTTGCGTAGCCCAGGAAACTTTTAAAGTAGAAAGAAGGAGGGATAGACAAGGATTCGGGGCAGAGGGTACTGCAATATGTCAGAGCAAATACCATAAGAGTTTTGTGGCAGTGTTTTAATTTGGTAACTCCTGCAAGGTCCACTGGGGAGAGGTGAGAATATGCCTGGCACTTTATGAGATGCAGAGAGCAAGCAGTCCCTCCCTCTGGACAGGCAGCTCAGGATTTGGACTAAGGCCTTTTTGTGTAACAACTGGAAAAGCAGAGCAGCTGATTTTTGGAAATAATGCCTAACTTTTGACTCCGTCTTCTGCCTCTAGTTGAAGAGCAGTTGTCCCCACAGAAGGAGAAACGTGCTGTAAAAGCAGCAGGACAAACTGCCCGTAGCCGTTCTGGCTTCAGTGATAGCAATTCCAAGTGGCTGGCTCCAGCCAAAGCCAAGAAAACCCAACCAAAAGGAAACCATGTGGAATTATCCAGTGATGGTGAGGTGGAAGAGGGCTGGGAGATGGAGGACGAGGAGGATGGGAGCAGCGAGGAGATGGTGGATGATTACGGTGCCTCATCATCAGAGGAAGAAGAGGTAGGAACTTCTTGCCCTTAATTACACAGGAAATATTTGGGTGTTGGACCTGGCTGAAAGGTCCCCTTGGGCCTGGGGGGAAAGGATGGCTTTAGTGGCAGGGGGTGGAGAGGTGGTGGGGAACTTTCCCCTTCTTTCCTTCACAAGAATGATTTCAAGTTTAGCAGCTGATTCCAGCATAACATTCAGTGCTTTTGTTTGTTGTCCCTTTTAAACAGAGCAAGTAAATTTCACAGATGGTGAAAGCAATGGTGGGAAGCAAGGGGACGACTGTGGTTGTTTTTTGATTGATTAATCTTTTGTCTCTATTTAGCTGCTGCCTATTGAAAAAGCTGCCCTGAAGCAGAAGCCTGAGAGGTGAGTGTGTAGAGCCTTTCCTGGGTAGATGAGGAGCATGTGTTGTTATTCCTCTGTCTTTTGTGCCATTTAAGAAATGGTAGCTGAGAAGCATCTGTGTGATCCTTTGTCCTTAGGGAAGGCCTCAGTGAAGATGACAGCGAAGAGGAGGAGGAGGAGGAAGAGGAAGCAGAGGAGGCAACCAAGCAGAAAGTGGGACAGAAGGAAGAAGAGGGCCCAGATCTGCAGCTCAACCTGGATATAGATGAACAGTTTAAACTGCCAACTAGTGAAGAGATTGAGAAGGAGGATATCCTTTTTATCTGTGACATCCATAAGCCATGTGCGTGATGCAGCACGGGGCCTGGATACAACCAAAGAGTTTCACTTGGACTTTATCATGCATATTGCTCAGCAAAAGTGTCTGTGCATGACAAGGTATTTTTAGCTGAGCTGTCCTAATAGATAGTGTATAATGCTGTGCTTCTGTATAGCACAGTTAGGAAATCTGTGACGCCCTGTATGGGGCTTGGAGCCTGCCCTAATTTCCTTTCTAGTCCTAAATACATATGGATCACTTATTATGTGGTTTGTTCCTCTCTACCCTGATTTTCCTGGCGGGTGCTTGTGCAACCCATTCCCAGAGTTTCTAATGACAGCAGTTCTAGCTTCCAAAGTGCTTACTTCTGGACTTTGGCAATTTTCATTTCCTGCCTCCCTTCTTACTCTCCTCTGTACCATTTGGTTGCCCTTGGAGAATTTCTGGTCTCTTTTTGTGCTGCAGGTAATGCTTTCAGTATTATAACACTTCTTTTGTTGGTTTTTTTTTTCTATATTTCACTATTTATCTAAAGTAATTCTTTTAAACACTCTCTAGTTCTGCCTTGTGAGCTTTTTTTGTCTGGTTTAATCCCTTGAACCCTGCACCTGCTGAGCTCTGATGGAAGCAGTATTCCAGCAGAGCCTTTCTGGCACAGGCTCTGTTGTGCCGCACGCGTCCGGCACCGCTCATTGTACTTGTAAAGAACCACTGTGCAAGTTCCTTGGCTGTTGGTGATTCCTTGACGGTGTTCCCACCTGCTGAGCCCCCCGACCTGCACATTATTCACCAGCGCATCCAGGGCAACATGGAGGTGCTGCAGGACTTTGGGGCGAAGCGGGAGGAGGGACGCTCCCGGCAGGAATACCTCGCGCTGCTGCGCCGGGACATGGCCGCCTACTACTCCTACAGCGACTTCCTGCTCACCAAGCTCATGGACATCTTCCCTCTCCCTGAGGTGGGATCCTGCCCTGCCTGTAGCTGACCAATGGGGGTTTGGCTGCCTCCCTGAGAATCCATTTCTGTCTCTGTTCTCTGTCCCTTCCAGCTGGTAAACTTCCTGGAGGCTAATGAGGTTCCGCGCCCTGTCACCATTCGCACCAACACGCTGAAGACACGGCGGCGCGACCTGGCCCAGGTGAGGAGGAGCCAGTGGCTGTGCCCTGAACTGCCTGTCCCCCAGAGTGGTGTCTCAGTCCCTTCTCCTTGCCTTGCAGGCTCTCATCAACCGTGGTGTGAATCTTGACCCCCTGGGGAAGTGGTCCAAAACAGGACTTGTGATTTATGACTCCACTGTGCCCATCGGTGAGATCACCTTTACCTTGCAGGGCTGAGCTCACCCGCTCCTGCTTCCCTTTCTCTCACATCTCATCTTCTTCTGTTCTGCCTTCCCTGGCCAGGTGCCACCCCAGAGTATCTGGCTGGACACTACATGCTGCAAGGAGCCTCCAGTCTTCTCCCTGTCATGGCGCTGGCTCCACAGGAGAACGAGCGCATCCTGGATATGTGCTGTGCCCCAGGAGGCAAGACCAGCTACATAGGTACCACCCTGGAGCCTTGGGAGGGATGCTCTGTCAAGTGGGAAGTTTCCACTGGTCCACACAGAAAGGGGGAATAGAGGGGGACTGAACTCAAGGAAGGGAGGGGGTGGCTGTCACTGGAGACAAAGGCACAAGAGGTTTTCAGCCCTTGCTGGTGTGTTTTGCCCTCTGGCAGCTCAGCTTATGAAGAACACAGGGATGATCCTGGCTAATGACAGCAGTGCTGAGCGGCTCCGGAGCGTGGTAGGGAATTTGCACCGCCTGGGAGTCACCAACGCTGTTGTGAGTAACTGCGATGGACGCCAGTTCCCCAAGGTACGTGCCTGTTTGCAGTGCTCACCCAGAGCTGCTGTGCTGTCCCTTCAGTGAAGCTGTGCTCTCCAGAGTCACCTGCCACAGCGGGATGAGCAGAGCTGCTGGGGAGTGTGGTTGTTACTTGATACAGAGGCAGGAAGGTGGACAGGGAAGAGGGAGAAGGAGTGTTTCCTGCCTTCCCAGTCTTTTGGTTCCCCTTCTAGTGTTGGCCTTGTTTTGAGTCCCCACCTGTGAGCATAATTCCAAACCTACATCTGCCTGTAGGTTCTTGGAGGGTTCGACCGTGTCTTGCTTGATGCTCCTTGTAGCGGAACAGGCGTCATTTCCAAGGATCCTGCTGTCAAAACCAACAAGGTGGGTGGCAAGTGCAGACTCAAGTATGAGTCATGAGAGGAAGGCCTTTGGGGGCAGCTGTGTTCTTGAGAGATACCAACAATACATTTTTCCTTTTCTTTCTGATTGTGTGTCATGTACCAGGGCTGTGTGTTGTACTAGGGCTGGTTTTGGTATTCTGCAGAAGACTCCAGACTGTTGTACATTATATGTGCTTTGCTCTCCTGTCATTCCCTCATCCACAGTAGAGGCCTGGATTGCTTCCCTGTGCCTGTGGCATCCTAACCTTTGTTTCTCCCTCAGGATGAGAAGGATATCCTTCGTTGTGCCCACCTGCAGAAGGAGCTGATTCTTAGCGCCATAGATTCGGTCAATGCTGCCTCAGAGACAGGGGGCTACATTGTCTACTGCACTTGTTCCATCATGGTAAGTGCCTTCTACCATCATCTGCTGTGGTCACCTCCTCCTCAGGAGATGGTGGGTTTTGGATCCTAATGCTTGGCCTCTGGCAGGTGGAGGAGAACGAGTGGGTTGTGGATTATGCCCTGAAGAAACGCAATGTCCGTTTGGTGCCCACAGGCCTGGACTTTGGCAAGGAAGGCTTCACCAGGTGTGTGCTAGGTCACAAGCTGCATGTGTGACTGCTCCTTGGTGGCCAGGCTTGAGCAGTCCTCACCCCTCTTCCTCCTCCAGGTTCAAGGACCGTCGCTTCCACCCGTCCCTCAAGTGCACGCGGCGTTTCTACCCGCACACGCACAACATGGATGGTTTCTTCATCGCCAAGTTCAAGAAGTTCTCCAATGCCATCCCGCAGGCACAGAAAGGTGACGTAGTGCTGGAGCTCAACTGAGCTGGCTGGGCCTGCCCTCGCAGGCTGCTTCCCCTGCAGAAGCCACTCTGGTTCTTCTCACAGTGCCCTTCTCTCCTTTCAGATGAAGAGCCTGCTGTGGAAGCGGCAGCTCCGTCCGCTACCCCTGATACCATCGTCACAGAGCCTCCGGCAAAAAAGAAGAAACTTGAGGGCTCAAAAGCTGACAAAGAGCAAAAGCTGCCCCAGCCTGCTTTGAAGAAGAAACATTCATTGCAAGCACAGAGGAGACCCCTGAAGGCTGTGCGGCCCTCTCCCAAAATGATGCGACCTAAAGTCCCTACCAGGAAGAAGAAGCATAGAGTGAAAGCGAACGGACAGTGAGAGGAGCTGCTTCTCCTTGTGTTGGTCCCTTCCTTGGAGAGCAAAGGCTGCTGCAGCTCTGTGTGTACCTCCACTTTGCTGCTCTGTGCAGATCATCTCTGCAGCTCTGAGCACCTGGGACAATGACAGCCCCCTTTGCTCCTTTCCCTTTGCATCAAGGACTGGGGCACTGACCCATTAAAAGTTTTATACTCTTGCTCAAGTCTTGTTCTTTTTCATTGGAACACGAAATACAGAATTCTGCTGTGTCCCCTTATTCCTTTGCAGCAGAAACCTCTCTTATTCCCAGCGGATGCTCTGGCATTTCTGGTGTCTGTCCTTATTCCCTACAACGGGGTTGTTTGTGAAGAAGCAGTGGGAGCTGAAATCCTTGCTGCCTGCATGAAGGCTGTATTGTGTGGAGCTGTCAGCTGAGTGTTTTGTCTGGGCAAGGCTCTAGCCCAGTGCTTCCTAGTTCCCTGTTGTCATTTAGTTCACTCTTGCGACTGCCCCCATTTCACCATTTTTCTCATCCCCAGCAGTCTCTCAGTTCTTGGCCTCCCCAACTTGAGCAGGGATTGCTTTTGGTTTGTGGAGCTGTACAGTGAAGTTCTTTTTGCCTTTGTGCTCACCCAGCTGCAGCTGCTTCTCCTTGGGACACAGTGGTCTGGGCTGTTCCTGTTTAAATGTCCTGGTCTGCTGCATGTGAGGCTGCAGCTTTCCACTCGCTATGGATGCCAGCAGGCACAGAGTGATCAGCAGAGACTGAGGGAACCTGCTGTGATGGGTGCCCAGGGAAACAAAACAGCACTTCAAAGACATGAACAGCAAAAAAGGCCTAATCCTGTTCTAGCTCCTGGGCCCATCAAACCTGGACTGTGCTGGTGGATTCTCTGCCCACACTTTGCTGGGTCACTGGCAGCTGGTCCTGAGGCTTGTGATCTGTCTGCTGCCTGGTTCTCAGTGCTCCTTTCCTGCTTGCAGCCTAGCCCAGCTTGCAGTGCATGCATGCTGGGATTAGCTTAATGCCAGGCCAGGACAAGATGGTGGTAATTGGGAGTAGGGCTCAGCCACACAGGCACACTGACCAGCAGCCAGTCTCCGTGTGACTGGCTCCTATTTATTCCTCTCTCCATTTCCCATGCTCAATTCTCCCTGATTTAGCTTGATGCCTCTCTTTTGCCTCCTTCAATCCTTCCCATCAACATCCCATAATAAGTTTTGCTCCCATAATCTTCCTTAAAATATTGCACAATAAACTTTACACGCTCCTGCAATTTCCCTCAAACATCCCACCACAGATCTGCCCTTTCCCACAAAGCCCATGATAATGCTACTTTTTTATCAGTTGGGAAGTTCCTGGCTGAAGCCCTTCAAGGCTGCACTTGAGTGATTGCTGTAATGGTTGTCTCTCAGTGTCTCAGGAGCCCTGGTCTTTGTTACAGACTTTGGTTATATTCTGCTTTTTAGGCCTTATCTATCTGTGTGTTTTATTTACTATAACCCTGTTTGGAGTGGAGGGGGGAACTGACTTTATCATTTTGTGTTGAATAGCCATTAAACAAATATCTTCATAGTTGAAAACTAACTTTCCCCCCATGCTTCCCCATGTGAATTAGGTCAGGGAGGAGCCTCTGAATGCAACTGTCTCACTTTGAGTTTGTGTATTGAGGTCTGAATTGTTGGATACAGATGACCCAAGGGAAGATTTTCGGCGTCTTTCAGAATAATTAAACAAATGCTAGTTGCAATAGCACCCAAGGGAAAGAATTACTGCTTCAATATTGCATTTCTAGTACCCCCCATCTGCATAAAGGCTGTAAAACTGGGAAATATTCAGAGAAGACAAATGCACCCTAAGTTTTGGCGAGAAAAGCAGCAAGAGCCTCTTTCAGCCCTGGGCCTGTCCTTTTGGGAGCAGTGCAGATCTGTCCCCGGTTGTTGCTGCCGCCTGCTGAGGTAACCATGTGAGTGTGCAACCTCAGCTTGAGAACCACTTTATCCTGATAACCCCATCAGCAGGGATAGAGTTTTCCTGGCTGGGATCCCAAGGTAACTGTCTGTTTTCCAGCAAATGTCCAAATTATGGTTGAATTCCAGCCCTGTAATGCAGGAATAGCTGCTGCTTTAACTGTGTCAAGAAAACTTCTCTCTTGCTGAGCATTGTTCCAATCACTTGGCATGCCTGCAAACCTTTTTTTATAGCTGGGAAGAGATGGGATAAATTTTCATCTCTCTTTGGTGGTCTGATCTGCTCTTGATTTCAGCTGTTGCAGTTATCACTGCTCAGAGAGATAATGTTGAATGTGACATTGAAATGCCACCACTGAGCTTCAGAGGCAGTAGTGGGGATGCAGCAGCTGGGGACAAAGCTTGGTCGTTTCCTCTGCATTCTGGTACAAGGCTGTGGTCACGTCAGGCTTGTGCTTGCAGCCATCTCCTTACTCTGGGAATCTTTTGTTACCTGAAAGCTGAGATTTCTGGAGAATGTGACTGCTGGATCATCTTTCAGTACCTTCCTTTAATGTGTTTTAATATCTGAAAGCTGCTGATAATGAGGCTTGCAGGAGCTGAGACACAGCAAAGCAAGAACTGAGGCAGAGCACGGATTGAAAGCAGATCTGAGGGGTAAAAATGCTGTCACAGATTAAAAGCTTGTTGAGAGGAGTCGTGATATCTGTTCCTCTGTGCTGCATGCTGTCCTTCTCCCCAAACTGGGAGTCTGCTGGAGAAGCCTTATCAGGGCACAAAGAAATCAGCCAGCTGGCAGCTCCTGCCCTGCAGGCTCCAGCAGTTCTCCTCTGCACACTGGGAGAGGCAGCCCCTGCACTGCTGCACCCTTGGGCTGGTGCAGGAAGGAAAATGACTTCTGGGGACAAGAGTGTGTAATGGAAAGACTCCAGTAGTGACGGGGTCAGTCGCTGACTCCAGTGATGTCATGTGCTGTAATGTCTGTTCCCAGCTGGGCAGGCTGCCTCTAGCTGCATTGCCTCATGTCTGCCTGTATCCTGAGGAAGGGGCTGAAATCCTGCCCTGCACATTTCAGGGACATACTTGGGTGTGAAATCTGGATCTTCCTGCACACACTTCATTGCACATAACACCCAGAGATACAGACACTTTTGTAGGGGCTGGATCCACAAATGGCCAAAGTCCCATCGGTGGGTCTTGCTTGCCCATCCCGGCTGGGGAGGATGTGGAGAGCTCCTGGGGAGGATGTCTGCAAGTCCCACCTGCCTGATGGGGTCAGGGGGGAAATGCTGGGGAAGTAAAGTCACTTGGGTCCTGGGCTCTAGAACTGCCTAGAGCTGCCTTCTCATGAAGACCTGGCTCCAAAACTCCCTCCTGGACTGGTGTTTGTGTATTTTTAGAAGAAAATGCATTCCCTCCTTTGCTGTTAGACAGGAACATTTCTGTGTGTTACATGTGGCCATCACCCAGCCACTGCTGGCAACCGCTCCTCTGCACCAATTCCTCCACATTTGCACCCAAATCCAGGCAGCTGACTGGGCTGATGAGTTTGCTAGGCCCAAAAGTCATGTGTGCATTGCAACACCTCCCTCTGGTTGTGGATAGAAACAATTTTATGGGTCAGTTTTAGTGAAGAATCTTGGAAGTTGGAAGACTTGGAGAGTTTACACAGAAATACTTCAGCAGTGTTGTGCGAGGGACAAAGTACCACTGAGGTACTTGGAGGGAAAGGGGAGCAGGGAGATGGGGTACAGACACACCAAGGAGACATGTGCCTTCCAAAAGCAGCCTCTGTGAAAGCTGTGGAGCTGATCTGGACAGGTTTCACCTGTGAAGTACCTTTGCAAGGAGGATGTGTTAGCTACCAAGAGCTTCTGAGATCTGGGAGAGGAGGAGCATCTCAGCCTGGTAATGGATGTTACAGCTGGGCAAAGGCAAAGGGGACAGGTGATTTTAATAGGAGCTTGCAGCTGGGAAACCTACCTTGATTTGCCCATGGAGGATAGTGGTAGAGGCTTAATCTCTTTTTACTGTGCTGTCAGCAATTAGAGACAGAGTCCCACATGAGTACCTGATCTGAACTACAGGAATTTGCACTGTCTGTTTTGCACAGGCTCAGAAAATGCAGTACTTCTTCCTTGGCCTTGAAATCTGTGGAAGATAAATACCACCATGTTTGCAAGTAAGTGTCTTTTTTCACATTGGCTACAGGAATGATTTTAAGAGCTGCAACGAGCAGCTCTGCATGTCAGCAGCTGCAGCCCAGCAGTGCCACTGTTGACCCTGAGCTGACAAAGTGGGAGCAGGAGCAGTGGGAGGGTCTGGAGAAGTGCCAGGTGTTAGGTGAACCAAGAGGGGAAGATGAGGAGAAGGAGCTGTTGTGCTGCAGTGAGATTGAGGCCCAGAGGAGGAGTGCTGTGGTCCCCTGGGTAGCAGGATTGTCTCCAGTTTCTGGGCTTCTGCAGGAATAACTAGAACAAGTTGGCCCTTGGCCCCAGCCACCTTCTGCATCAGTAGGAGTCCTTTACCCCAGCAAGTATCCTAAGCAAACAAAGTTAGAGAAAAAAGGAGGCTCCACATTGCCTCCTGTCCAGAAGGCAGCAGGAGTGTTGGTGGGAAGAGGTGCTGGAGGTGTGTAGCCCAGTCCCTGCTGTAAGTGGGGCTGTCCCAGCACTAGCTCACATCGCTGGGTTTGCACAGCTGGGCCCCAAGAACCACCACAGACAGGGATCCCACCACCTGCTCCAGTGCTCTGTTGGCCTGCTGGTAAAAAAAGCTTTTCCTGATGGATGGCATTTTCCTTCCTCCACCGGCATTTCATTAATCAGCTCCACTTGCTGGGTTTCCCTGGCTGGACAGGAGAGGCCAAGCAGAGCTTGGGCAGGCACTTGCTGCCAGTTTGTGGTGCTGCTCTCACCTGTGCTCTTCTCTGGCTGCACATAGAAGCAGCAGATCCCCCCAGTCTGACCTTGCTTGCCCAGGTGCAAGGGTGTGGAGGGGTAAAAGCAGGAGTGGTGAGGGGGGAGGATGCTGGCACAGCTGCCAGGCATGCAGGCAGGCTGTGGCAGCATGGGGGGCGGGTGACAGGACGTGGCAGCAGGAAGGAGGGAGTCAGCGGTGGCTGAAGGTCACATGCTGGGAGGTTTCCGAGCTGGAACTGTCAGTGCTGTTTCAAAACAAGCTTCTTGACTGGGATTCCTCTTGTCCATCTGTCCTCTTTTCCCTGGGTGTTTATTTGGCAGCATT